TCCACATTAATGGAAATAAAATAAATACAAACTTGTGATTGCTTTATCTTGTAAAAAGTGTTCACTGCATATTAGGGAGGACTTGGATGGGTCCCAGTCCTTTTGGTTGATTGCCGCCATCGTCGTCTTCTGTCTTCATGACGAGCAGGTATCAGATAAAAAAGCTTATGTCCGTGCCTGTTAGTATAATCAACCGCACTGCAAAATGTCACAGTTTTGGCTGTAATGCGCTGAAACAGGTTGTTTTGGTCAGGTGTCCGTAGGCTCCAGTTAGACTTCTGCGTCTGTCATGGAGAGTGGGCGTGGCCGTGACGTCACATGCACAGGGTCAATATGCACTGTGCTCCTTATGACAGTTATTCAACAGCAGAGAGCACACCAGGGACGTGCGGTGAGGTTTGTGATTGGGGAGGCACTGACTTTAAAAGTCAGATTTACAATCATTATTCAAATAAAATAGCATTTAATCACCAATGCAATGACATCCACAAACTTTATATACTGTAAAGATAAGAGAACCAGCTTCTTTTAATAATCTCACAACAAATCTAGCTGCTGACTCTGCTCCGCATCAAACAACATCTTTAAGAAGCGCAGGTGCGAGAGACGCGAGGAGAGAGAGACGCGAGGAGAGAGGAGCAGAGAGGAGCAGAGAGAGACGGAGACGCGAGGAGCAGAGAGAGACGGAGACGCGAGGAGCAGAGAGAGACGGAGACGCGAGGAGAGAGAGACGCGAGGAGAGAGGAGCAGAGAGAGACAGAGAGGAGCAGAGAGACGGAGACGCGAGGAGAGAGAGACGGAGACGCGAGGAGAGAGGAGCAGAGAGAGACAGAGAGGAGCAGAGAGACGGAGACGCGAGGAGCAGAGAGAGACGGAGACGCGAGGAGAGAGAGACGCGAGGAGAGAGGAGCAGAGAGAGACAGAGAGGAGCAGAGAGAGACAGAGAGGAGCAGAGAGACGGAGACGCGAGGAGAGAGAGACGGAGACGCGAGGAGAGAGAGACGCGAGGAGAGAGAGACGCGAGGAACATAAACAATAATTTAAACAAGTTGCAGAACTCTTGAGCAGTGTTTGAATCAGTGTTTTTCGGAAAAGCACTACTTTGCCGGTATCTGTCAATGTTCAACATAAAACACAGATTAACAAACTCCTCCCCCGCAGCCGGACTAACCTCGTAAGTCCAGTGGTGGTCTCCCAGTCTATATTAATTCTTTCTTTGTTTGAAAGTCCAATTGAGAAAAAAAATCTTCATTCAAATCATCCATTTTCCAGCAAAAGAAATAGCATTTTGGGCTGATTGTTTGTTAGCAACTCTGGTATGAACTTTATGCTCACTATCACCCCTAGCGGTGAGGCACAGATACCGCCTGCCTCACGCCAAGCTTTTTCCTTGTGTGTTCATCTACGATCAAAAGACTTAAACTAAATATAAATTGTACACACATACGTGCAATACACTACTAAACACTAAGAGGAGTTTAAAAAATGTTTTTAAAGCAGGATATTTGAAACAAACGGTGATATATCAACTGCACGAGCTGAGTGCACTCAGACACACACACACACACTGTGAGGGAGCGGTCTGGGGTGAGGCACGCAGGAGCGCTGCCTCACCTCGTCTCTTTGAATAGGAATAACGGGATTTCGGCGATTTTGACTTCAGAAATGATCAAAACTGATGGGAACCGTGCCGAATATACATTAAAAGCATAGGACAGTGGATATAAATTATATATTTAAACTAAAATAATTATTAGTTTCCAATAATGGCAGGTGAGGCTCTGCCTCCCCTGCCTCCCCTGACTGCACGTCCCTGGAGCACACATACATATATTTCAGACAGACATCTTTTAAACATTAACCAGCCTCGTCCAATGTGCCGTGGGTGACGGGATAGACCAGTGGTTCCCAAAGTGGGGGTCCCGACCCCCGGGGGGACGCGGGAACCCTTGGGGGAGGGGGGGTTGCAAGATGATTTACGAAAAAATAAATAAAATAAAATGGCAAATTAGTAGCCCTTGAATATTTATTTTGCATTTGATTTGATTCAAAAGGACTACTTGCTAAATTGTGTTTGGAGAATGTAATATATTTAAATTACGTTTGTAATTTTGTCCCAGTCATTGACAGCGTCAATCAAGTTATGCAGCTTACATCATGCAGCGACAAAGCGTGTCTGGCTGATGTTAGTTGCTAAAACTAAAGGTGTTTGGAGGCTACATACGAATAATACCTGCTTCAAAATGAAACGTGGTTAATATCCACAACAGAAAAACACGGAGGGGGAGAAAAGTCACATGTGTCAGAGGAGAGGCTGATGGTGCGAAGAGAGGGAGAGAGGGCAACGGTAGAACAGCACGGTAAAGAGACCCGGCTTTTTGGAGTCAAAGGTAAAGAGGTCCGCACATTAAAAGCAGGTGGCAGCTTTATGCTGTTACTGACAGTAACTTTGAAAAGAGAAGCCGCGGGGATGAACCGCATAAAGTAACAGCAGAAAGCGGCCGCCTGCTTTTCATGTGCAGACCTATTTACCACTGACTCCGAAAAGCCGGGTCACTTTACCGCGGTCAGAGAATAGTGAAGGCGAGCCGCAAGAAATGCGCTCCACCTCTACTCAGGGGAGAGCCCACCAAGCCCATCACTTGCGTCACTACGTGAGTAAAAATACGCAAGCCTCCTTTTTGGGGCTGGACAGTGCAGCTCAGTAGTGGCTTGAGTCTCTATGAAGCGTTACTCCGTATCAAGGAAATACATGCTCATGGACGGGAAGAGCTGTTGAGGTGGGGGGTTGCGGGGGAGCAGCGCATTTTTTCGGTCGACAAAGATGGCGCCTCGTACGGTCGACATGGCTCTTTGCTGCTCTCTTTTTCTTTTGTTTTTACTTTTTAACTGCGCATCTGGCTGTTCCTACACCCGTGAGGAACTTATGAACATCCGACCCACCGTTCCCATGGACCTATTGCCTGTTTTCTTGGCATCTGCGGCTGATTTAGTTCATGTTCTAGCCAAAAAAGTGTGGGCCCGTAAAAGGGGAAAGCGCAGAGGCCTGCTCGTGCGTCTTAGGAGGAGAGGAGCGCGCACGGCTCTCCCCGGCATTTTCCTCTCCAACGTACGCTCACTGGGCAATAAGATGGACGAACTCAGCCTGCTCATGAGAAGAAACAAGGACTTCGCCACATCCTGTGTCCTCTGCTTCACTGAGACCTGGCTAAATGAGCGGATCCCGGACTGCGCTCTGGAGCTGCAGGGCTTTGGGCTGTTCCGCGCGGATCGCCATTGTGCGCTCTCAGGGAAGAGCAGAGGCGGAGGGCTGTGTTTCTACGTCAATATAAACTGGTGTAACGATGTGACAGTGATCTCCAAGCACTGCTCTCCTGCTCTGGAATATCTTTTCATCCATTGTAAACCATATTACTCCCCGCGCGAAATTGTTTCATTCATTCTTGCCTCTGTTTACATACCGCCATGCGCGGACGCGCGCGAGGCTCAGCGCGCACTCGCAGAGCAAGTACTGTGTATGGAACGCTTATACCCGGACTCTCTGATTATTATCCTGGGGGATTTTAATAAGGGAAACTTGAGCCAGGAATTACCCAAATACAGACAGTTTATCAAATGCCCGACCAGAGAGGAGAACACTCTGGATCACTGTTACACCACCGTGCGCGGAGCTTTTCGCGCTGTTCCCAAGCCAGCCCTCGGCTTCTCAGATCACTCCATGATACATCTGGTTCCTGCTTACAGACAGAGACTAAAGCTCTCGAAACCTGCAATGAGGAGCTCCAAAGTGTGGTCTGATGAAGCTGTGGAAGAGCTGCGCGCATGCATGGAATCTACAGACTGGGACCTTTTCAGAGCTGCCACAGACAGTTTGGATGAATATACGGACACTGTGACGTCATACATTCACTTCTGTGAGGATAGCATCATTCCAACAAGGACCAGGGTCATCTATAACAACGACAAACCCTGGTTCACTGCTAAACTCCGGCAGCTCAGGAAAGCAAAGGAGTCTGCTTTCAGGGAGGGGGACCGCAGCGGCTACAAAGCAGCTAAATATCAGTTCAGGAGAGAACTGAAAGCAGCCAAGTCCCGGCACAGAGAACGACTACAGGAGCAGTTTGGTAACAACGATATACTGCTTCTGTCTGGAGGGGCCTACGGGAGATCACCAACTACAAGCCCAAAGCCCCCCCCTGTGCTGACGACCACAAGCTAGCTGACGATCTGAACTTATTTTTCAGTCGCTTTGATGCTGCCCCTGACACCTCCCCCACCCCCCACTACTCTAACGACCCACCCATCAGCCCTGCCCCCAGCCTAACAATAGCCGCTAAAGAGATTAAACAACTCTTCCTGAGGCTGCACCCCCGCAAAGCTCCTGGCCCGGACCACGTGTCTCCGGCCACTCTGAGACACTGCACCAGTGAGCTTACTCCTGTGTTCACTGACATTTTCAACACCTCTCTGCAGTCCTGCCATGTCCCGGCCTGCTTCAAATCCTCCATCATTGTCCCCGTCCCGAAGAAGCCCAGGATCACAGGACTCAATGACTACAGACCTGTAGCACTTACGTCTGTCGTCATGAAGTCATTTGAACGCCTGGTTCTCTCCCATCTCAAGTCCCTCACCTCCCCCCTCCTGGACCCCCTGCAGTTCGCCTACAGAGCCAACAGATCTGTAGACGACGCCATTAACCTGGCCCTCCACCACATCCTACAGCACCTGGACTCCCCGGGGACCTACGCCAGGGTCCTGTTCGTGGACTTCAGCTCTGCCTTCAACACAATCCTGCCATCCCTGCTCCAGGACAAGCTCTCCCAGCTCAACGTGCCCGATTCCACCTGCAGGTGGATCACTGACTTCCTGACGGACAGGAAGCAGCGAGTGCGTCTGGGGAAGAATGTCTCGGACTCTAGGATTATAAATACAGGAGCCCCACAGGGCTGTGTTCTTTCTCCCCTGCTCTTCTCCCTGTACACCAACCACTGCACCTCCAGCCACGACTCCGTGAAGCTGATCAAGTTCGCGGACGACACCACCCTCATTGGACTCATCTCCAACAACGATGAGTCCGCCTACAGGAGGGAGGTGGACCGGCTGGTGTCCTGGTGCAGTGGTAACAACCTGGAGCTGAACGCCCAGAAGACAGTGGAGATGATTGTGGACTTCAGGAAGAGCACTGTCCCCCCACCCCCACCCTCCGTGATGGACTCCCCCATCACCTCTGTGGAGTCCTTCCGTTTCCTGGGCACCACCATCATCCAGGACCTCAAGTGGGAGCCGACCATCAGCTCCCTCATCAAGAAGGCCCAGCAGAGGATGTACTTCCTGCGGCAGCTCAGGAAAGCCAAGCTGCCTGCACAGATGTTGGTGCAGTTCTACACGGCCATCATCGAGTCCATCCTCACCTCCTCCGTCACCGTGTGGTTCGCTGGAGCCACAGTCAGGGACAAACAGAGACTACAGCGCATTGTGCGCTCTGCAGAGGAAGTGATCGGCCGCAGCCTTCCATCGCTGCAGGACCTGTACGTCGCCCGAGCTCGAGGCCGGGCTGGTCGTATCACAGCCGACCCCTCTCACCCTGCACATGGACTATTCCAACCACTCCCCTCAGGCAGGAGACTGCGGTCCATCAGGACTAGAACCTCCCGCCACAAGAACAGTTTCTTCCCCTCTGCTGTTGGACTCTTGAACACTTCTTAACCTGTCCCCCCGCCCTTTATAAAGTCACTTTACTGACCATCATACGTCACTTTACTTCACTGTACTGCTGTCACCTTACATTGTGTGCACCATGTGCACTTGTATATTGTAAATAGTAACTGTATCTCTATTTTAAATTTAAATTTATTCTTTAGAAGTGTTTTTTATTCTTATTTTTATTATCTCTTTTTGACTGTTGCACTGAGCCAAAGCAATTTCCAAGTCTGTGACCTCCTGTTACTTACGTGGCAATAAAAATGATTCTGATTCTGATTCTGATTCATTTATGATGGAGGTCGTGGGCTAAAAACTTTGGGAACCCCTGGGATAGACCATAGAATGAAAGAGAGGCAAAGTAGGAGGGAGGGGGGAGTCCCGTAGCTGGTGAACTGAGTCTGTGAGTTTTGAGAGAGTCCATCCTTGGCCTTGAGTAGTGGAATGTGTAGGTAGATAAGAGTGGTGCCTGCAGACATGGGAAAGACGATAACCCGTTTGCCTTGTGAGAATTTGTGCGAGAACTTTAGTTGGTCAGATCAGGGGCAAGTGTAAACTTAAAAAAACAATTGAGTCCGAATTAAATCATCACTGGTTCCCCTCTGTTGTCCAGAGTTTCCCGTGAGGCCCAAGTCCATTCAGCTTCTCTTTCAAACGCTTGTGAAGCACAAGCTTTAACCACTGCGTCTCCGTGACTCACATAAAACACAGTTCAAACTCTTACTTACCTAAAAAGAAATGGGGGCGAAAGAAAACCTGGATAAGCCCAGGTGTTAAGTAAGTGAGACGTTTTTAAATTGTATTTTATTTAATAAAAAACTCAGACACTCAACTCAACTTTGGCCTGACTTCTCAACACAGAGGTTGGTTCTGTATTCCAGAGGACATTTTATCTGATGTTGTGTGTGCGGACTGGGTCGCCGAGGTCTCCGCCTTCGGCTGCTGCCCAGTCCTCTCAGCACCGAGCCACCACGGACCCCTCTGCAGGTGGTGGGCCCACAGGAGGGACTGCCCACGTCGTCCTTTCGGGCTGAGCCCGGCCGGGCCCCGTGGGCTAAGGCCCGGCCACCAGGCGCTCGCATACGAGCCCCGACCCCAGGCCTGGCTCCAGGGTGGGGCCCCGGCTGCGCCATGCCGGGCGACGTCACTATTTTTCTTTTAGTGCTGTCCATGGTGTCTTCGGACCGCTCTTTGTCTGACTCGTCACCTGAGACCTGTCTGCCATGGGAGACCCTACCAGGGGCATGAAGCCCCAGACAGCATAGCTCCCAGGATCATCCGAGTACTCAAACTCCCCCACCACGTTAAGGTGGCAGTCCAGGGGGGACTGCCACCGGGGGATGTGCCGATGGAGTGGCAGACCGGGGTGGTGGTCCCTCTCTATAAGAAGGGGGACCGGAGGGTGTGTTCCAATTATCGTGGGATCACACTCCTCAGCCTCCCTGGTAAGGTTTACTCCAAGGTACTGGAGAGGAGGCTACAGCCAATGGTCGAATCTTGGATTCAGGAGGAGCAGTGTGGTTTTTGTCCCGGCCGCGGAACACTGGACCAGCTCTATACTCTCCATCGGATACTCGAGGGTTCATGGGAGTTCGCCCAACCTGTCCACATGTGCTTTGTGGATTTGGAGAAGGCGTTTGACCGTGTTCCCCGGGGTGTTCTTTGGGGGGTTCTCCGGGAGTACGGGGTCCGGGGTCCTCTGCTGAGGGTTGTTCGGTCCCTGTATGACCGGAGCCAGAGCTGTGTTCGCATTGCCGGCAGTAAGTCCTGTTCCCGGTGCATGTTGGCCTCCGCCAGGGCTGCCCTTTGTCACCGGTTCTGTTCACTGTATTCATGGACAGAATTTCTAGGCGCAGCCAGGGGCCGGAGGGGGTCCGGTTCGGGGACCACAGGATTTTATCTCTGCTGTTTGCGGACGATGTTGTCCTGTTGGCTCCAACGAACCAGGACCTGCAACATGCACTGGGGCGGTTTGCAGCCGAGTGTGAAGCGGCTGGGATGAGAATCAGCACCTCCAAATCCGAGGCCATGGTGCTCGACCGGAAAAAGGTGCCTTGCCCTCTTCAGGTGGGTGGGGAGGTCCTTCCTCAAGTGGAGGAGTTCAAGTATCTCGGGGTCTTGTTCACGAGTGAGGGAAGGATGGAGCGTGAGATTGACAGGCGGATCGGTGCAGCGTGCGCAGTGATGCGGTCGCTGTATCGGACCGTTGTGGTAAAGAGGGAGCTGAGCCGAAAGGCAAAGCTCTCAATTTACCGGTCAATCTTCATTCCCTCCCTCACCTATGGTCATGAACTTTGGGTAATGACCGAAAGAACGAGATCGCGGATACAAGCGGTCGAAATGAGCTTCCTCCGCAGAGTGGCTGGGCGCTCCCTTAGAGATAGGGTGAGGAGCTCAGTCACACGGGAGGAGCTCGGAGTAGAGCCGCTGCTACTCCACGTCGAGAGGAACCAGTTGAGGTGGCTCGGGCATCTGTTCCGGATGCCTCCTGGACGCCTCCCTGGGGAGGTGTTCCGGGCACGTCCCTTCCGGGAGGAGGCCCCCGGGGAAACCCGGGACTATGTCTCTCAGCTGGCCTGGGAACGCCTTGGGGTCCCCCCGGACGAGCTGGAGGAAGTGTGTGTGGATAGGGAAGTCTGGGCGTCTCTGCTTAGACTGCTGCCCCCGCGACCCGGCAACGGATGAAGCGGAAGAAAACGGACGGACGGACGGATTTTATCTGATACAATGTATGTTTCTTATTTGCAGAATCACAAATGGACAGCCTTGGAACAACGTATAAATCCAAAATGATGAAGGTCACACGTAACCAGTCTGAACCTAAAACGCTAGTCCACTCTGGAGAGAAGCCATTTGAATGTGACCAGTGTGGAAAGACATTCTCACGAGCAGAGTATCTCAAAAGCCACTACCTCGTCGACACTGGAGAGAGAGCCTTTGAGTGTGATCAGTGTGATAAGAGTTTAGCTAGAGAACATTGTCTCAAAAAACACATCAGAACCCACACTGGAGAAAAACCATACATCTGTGACGTTTGTGAAAAGACATTTTCACAGTCTGGTAATTTACGAATCCACTTGAGAGTTTACACTGGAGAGTGGCTTTTTGAATGTGACCAATGTGGAAGTCGTTTTTCTGGAGCAGGGGATCTCAAAAAACACTTAAGAATCCACACCGGAGAGAGACCATACAGCTGTGATGTTTGTGAGAAGACCTTTACAATGTCAGGCAACTTGTTAAAGCATATGGAGGTCCACTCTGGAGAGAGACCATTGGAATGTGGCCAATGTGAAAAACAATTTAAAAGATCTGCTCACCTTAAAAGGCATTTGGAAATCCACTCTGAAGAAAGGCCATATCCATGTGATCAATGTGGAAAGAGTTTTGCTTCATCAAGCTCTTTGCATAGGCACAGCCGAGGCCACGCTCAAGAACTGTTCAGCTGCAATGTTTGTGGTCAGAAGTTTAATACACCTAAATCTCTCCAAATCCATGAGATTATCCACAAAGGAGTAGAAGAGCCCTTTGAATGTGAGCAGTGTGGAGCGACATTTAAAAAAAACCGTACCTCCAAAAACACCTGGCCGTTCACAGTGATGAGAGGCCGTTCAAATGTGACCAGTGCGACAAGGCTTTAAAGGCGTCACGACAGCTCCAAATTCACAATCGAATCCACACAGGAGAAAAACCATTCACGTGTGAACAGTGTGGGAAGAGGTTTGCTCATAATTCTGCCTACAAATGTCACTTGAGAATCCACACTGGGGAAAAGCCGTACACATGTGAATTCTGCAGTAAAACCTTTAGGTGTTTTAAAGACGTCACAGTGCACCGTCAGCACCACACCAGAGATCAGTTTGTCTGTGAAAAGTGTGGGAAGTCTTCTGTATCCATAAACGGTCATCGCCGACATATTAAAAACTGCTCGTCCTCAGCAAACAAAAGGAGAAGGTGAACTCAAAGTTAAACTCAAAAGAACTGAGATTATGAGCAGTCGATATTGATCCTTCCCTGCTTTATGTTGTATAAACTGTATACTATTTTTGTTTTCTTGTGTATTTTCATCAACTATTTTGTTACAGTGATGCCATTCTATATTTTGAAGAAAATTATATTTAATTCAAGATACAGTTTTGAGACTTCCAGGACTTCCGAGGTTTGTAGGCATTGATTTGTTGTCTTTAGAGCGCATTATTTTAAAAAAGTGAATTGGATTTATCATTCGGGAATTTGACAATTGTGGTGATCTATTTGGCAAAGGAAAAAAACAAGAAAAAACAATAGTCTGACCAGCCAGAACCACACGACAAACCTGACTCCATTCCACCCGTTCTGTCAGGAGGAATGGGCCAAAATTGCATGTCCACTATTTTATGTTTCCAGATAATCCACGTTAAGCATAAAATAAAGTTTATTTGTATAGCACAATTCATACACAAGGCAACTCAAAGTACTGAACAAAACAAGAAAGCATTAAAATCTGAAATAATCACAGAACATTAAAAAGGGAGATAAAAATATAAAATCCCTCAGTTGTATGCACAGCTGAACAGAACTGTTTTTAACCTGGTTTTAAACATTGTCAGAGAGGAGGCCTGTCTCACATCTTCAGGAAGATTGTTCCAGATTTTAGCAGCATGAATCTGAAAAGCAGCCTCCCCATGTTTAGTTCTGACTCTGGGGACTAACAGGAGTCCAGTCCCTGTGCTCCTCAGAGTCCGGGCTGGTTCATATGGGACTAACATGTCAATCAATCAATCAATCAACTTTATTTGTATGGCGCCTTTCCAACACAAGGCCACTCAAAGCGCCTCACAACCCACATAATATCACACAAATCAGAGACATCAATAAATACATTAAAAACAGAATAAAATCACAAGTAATGGAAAAAAAAAAAAAAAAAAAAAAAAAAAAAAAAAAACTTAAAATATTAAAAGCACACACGGGATTAAAATAATAAATAACCACAATGCATTAAAAAAAGGAGTATGTATCAATAAAATCCTTCAGCCGTATGCACAGCTAAAAAGAACAGTTTTTAGCCCTGATTTAAAAATTGCCAGAGTAGATGCTAGCCTCACATCTTCAGGAAGATTGTTCCAGATTTTAGCTCCATAAATCTCAAACGCTGCCTCCCCATGTTTAGTTCTGACTCTTGGAATCAGTAAGAGGCTACCTCCTGTGCTCCTCAGAGTCCGGGCCGGTTCATATGGGACTAACAAGTCGCTTAAGTACTTTGGTGCGAGGCCATGGAGAGACTTGTACACAAGCAGTGCTGCTTTGAAGTCTATTCTCTGAGCCACAGGAAGCCAGTGCAGAGACCTGAGAACTGGACTAATGTGGTCATATTTCCTGGTCCTGGTCAGGACTCGAGCTGCTGCATTTTGAATGTACTGCAGTTGTTTTACAGCCTGTTTGGACAGACCTGTGAGCAGGCCATTGCAGTAGTCTAACCTACTGGAGACAAATGCATGGATGAGAATCTCCAGGTCTGCTTTAGACACTATGTTTCTAATTTTGGCAATGTTTTTCAGATGGTAAAATGCTGCTGATGTTACTGATTTGATATGACTGTTAAAATTTAAGTCTGAGTCCATTATAACTCCTAGGTTTCTGACCTTGCCTACAGGTTCCAGGGAGAGAGACTGGAGGTGACGAATAACGCTCTCTTTGTTTCTGAGGACCAAAGACAATCAATTCTGTTTTGTCTGCGTTTAGCTGAAGGAAGTTATTTTGCATCCAATCACTAATCTGTTGAGTACAGTGAAGGAGTGATTCCACTGGTCCATGTTCTCCTGCAGTAAGTGAGACATAAATTTGAGTGTCATCAGCGTAATTGTGGTAGGATACATTGTTGGAGCGTATTAACTGACCTAACGGCAGCATGTAAATATTGAACAGAAGAGGCCCCAGAATTGATCCCTGTGGCACTCCGCAGGTCAGAGCCATATGATCTGAGACACAGTTTCCTATCTGAACCAAGTATTTCCTGTCTTCTAGGTAAGACCTAAACCAACTTAGGGCAGTCCCAGTGACACCCACCCAGTGCTCTAGTCTCTGCATGAGGATCTCGTGGTCGACTGTGTCGAACGCAGCACTCAGATCCAACATTACTAAAACTGTGACTTTTCCTGTGTCGGTGTTAAGTCGGATGTCATTTATAACCTTCACTAGTGCAGTCTCAGTGCTGTGATTGGCTCTAAAGCCGGACTGGAGCGCATCAAACGAACTATTAGTTACTAAGAATTCTGTAAGTTGTTGGTAAGCAACTTTTTCCAGAATTTTTCCCATAAACGGCAGATTTGAAATGGGGCGATAATTCTTAAGAACTGTGGCATCTAGACTCCTCTTTTTTAGGAGGGGTCTGATGACTGCCGTTTTCAGGGCCATTGGAAATGTTCCAGATGAGAAAGACATGTTCACTATTTGTGTGAGCAAAGGTAAAAGACTGCTCAAAACAGACTTAAAAAATTTAGTGGGTAGTACATCCAGGCTACATGTGGAGGAACTAAGGCTAGAGACAACATCTTGGACCGTTTCATTATCTGTTGGTGCAAAGTGCGATAGCTCAAACAGCCTCACCGGCTGTTGTAATGTTATTTCTGCCTTAGAGGTTATGGCGTTTTTGATGCTCTGAACCTTGTCATTGAAAAATTGTGCAAACTCATTACATTTAGATTCTGAAGCAAATTCGAATGGCAGCTGAACAGGGGGGTTTGTTAATCTGTTAACTGTTGAAAACATAAGTCGTAGATTATTATTGCAGCCATCAATGGTTTTAGAAAAATAAATTTCTC